TTCAACTCTATATTAAACTGAACAACAAGAATTCGATCGTTGATATTCTAATATGATTATTCTTCGTAATAGAAAAATTTTCTTGATTTTTCAAAAGGATCTTTTTTTCTCATTTAAATCGATAAAAAAAAACTTCAGAAAAAAAAACCAATTAAATATGAAGGATAAATTGATTAGTTCACATAATATCGTATGGACTTGAATATGTTAATCGATTGAATTTTTTATCGAAGACGTCGCTCTTGTAAACAAAACACGAAATCAAATTGAATTGAATAAAACAATCTGATTTATATTGGTTCGTAGAAAGACCAATTAAATTACTTTATTTCATTATAATTCGTTCGTTGATTCGTATGAATGGAGAACATTTAATATCAGCTTAATTATTAATAAAACGATAATAATTATTGATCAACATCAAAGAAAATTCTTTCTTTTTTTTTTACTTTTTTTTTTAATTTATTTCAAAATTGATAATAGATAGAGATAAGAATTGAAAATCGAATAAAAACGATAAAAAATAGTTGATAGAAATGTTATCATTTAAAATTAATCGTATTGAATTAAGTATGTCTTTTATCGTCGATGTAAACATTTTTCTTATGTTATTCATCAGTAAACAATTTGTTTGTGTCTAATTGAATAATAAATTGTATTTCATTGATGAAATTTCTTTTTTCAGAAAACGAAAAATCAGATGTCGAATAATTTGAATAAAAGTGATGTTTGTTTTGAGCTTTTGAATAGACGTCCAACATCGAAGTATCAAATATTTATATTTTCGGGAGCTGGTTCTCCTGGTATAACTTTTTTTATAATATATTTCAATTTTAATTAATTGTTTCGATTAAATAAGCTTCATTTTATCGAGAATGGACTAAACATTTAGACAAATATGATTTATTTTTAATAATTTATCCAGGAAGATTAAAAAGAACAAGTGAAAAATTCTTTACTACAATAAAAGAATATATTATAGGATTTAATCAACGACTTATACCATTTATTAATAAACCATCGATTTTTATTGGACATAGGTGCAGATCTTTTCTTTTTTTTCTTTTTCCTTAATTTAATTTGATTTTTTTACTTAAGTATTGGAACTGTGATTAATTTTGCATTGGCTCAACACATGATTGAAACAAATAATAAAAGATATTTAATTAAATTATTAGTTGAAGTGGGAAGAGGACCACCTCATTTACCAGATCTTTTGTTCATTCTATATAAGATATATATATATAAATCTGTAGATCCTGATAAATCTTTTGCTGATATGAACGATGCAGAGATTGTTGAAAGTTTAAAGAAAATGGCAGGTCAATTTTATATGAAAAGAATCTTTTTAAAATGAATTATAGTTGTTTTTTTTTTTCTTTTTTAAATAGATCCTAAAACACGAGAAGTTTATGATTATCCAGAATTTGTTGAAATGTTAATACCTATGTTAAAAGCTGATGCATAGGTTTTGTTTATTTCAATTTCGATTGAAAATTTTTTTTTTTTAATTAGATAATATAGATATGTCAACCATTATTACCTTTAACTTCATTAAATATTTCAATTATTGTTTATGATGGAGAATATGATGAAAGTGTTAAAGAATCATTTTTAAATAGGTAATACAAATTATTTTTTGTTTTTCTTAAAAAAGAACTAAATAATTTTCTTAATAAATATAGATGGAAAGAATTAACAGACAAAAAAAGATTTATTTCAAGTTCGAATGTTCGCTGGACATCACATTTTTCATTCGGAATGTCAAGATCAACTATTAATATATCTTAAAAAGATTTGAATTTTATTTTAGATAAATTAAATAATTAATTTTTTATTTATTTCATTTTTTTTAAGATAATTTAAAATATATTTCTATTTAATATTCTATTTCAATAGAATTAATATGTATATGATCATGATCAAAGATATCGATATAAATAAATGACAGAATATTTATTTATAAAAATAAATAATATCAATTCAATAAAAAAAAAAGAATGAAATAGATTCTTAGTCTAATTTTAGTTCGACATTTATTATATTAATATATTCAAACAAGAATAAATTTTATTTCAATTAATTATATGAATTAATCAATAATCATTTGTGATTTAAATATTATTTTAGAATAAAAACAAATTTATCTGAATATTTATAATAAAAAAAAAAGAGAAGATCAATACTCATTGGACTTATGTATAGAAAGATTTTCCTAATTAGTTTCATAAAGATTTAATATAATACTTCAATAAAAATAGGATATTTATCATTGTTAACATTTAATTGACGTATTTTCAAGAGCGTGATAAAATCGAAAGAATAAACAACTAAAAGAATAAATCAAGATTATATTCTTAACTATTAACAATCAGATATCCAAAGTATAAAAGACACTATTTATCAGTTGATTGTTTTTTTTTTCAAAGTAAGAGAAAAAAAAGCAATTGTTTGAACATCCTTCATTAAAACTTTTAGAAAATTCTTTCGATGTAAAAAAAATAAGGATATTTGACTGAACTCTCTCATCCATTACATATTTCGGAATATTCGTTCATTATTATTTCAAAAAACATTTCTTATTCTTCCAAACTCATTACAAATATCTAAACGATTTAAAAACGTTTACTAATATAAATATACAGAAAATAGAGTTTTTTGTTTTATAAATATTCTCATTATGCCTTGGATATATTTTCAACATCGTCCGATAATTAACATTTATTTGTTTTATGAAAGATTCTTGTGAAATATTTGATGAAAATTATCAATAGATATTTGCAAATATTTAGAATAAAACTTGTTGTTTAATTGAATAAATTTGAAATGTATTATTATTCTGATAAACTTTATTAATTCTAGAAATTATTTATAAGAATATAATTTTATTCAATGATAAATATAATAATATTTTATTCAAACAAATGGCAACTATATTAACTTTTATTTCTTGCAGTTTAATATTATTTTTATAGATAAATTTCTGTTTAATTTCAACATCTAAAACAATTCATATTGATATTTGAGTATTTAACCATTATTTTTTACTAATATTTAGTTAAATAATTTGATTATAAGTTTCATAGTTATATTGAATATAGAATGAACATTTTCGTTGATGACACAATTCTAATTATTGTTATTTTCAAGTTCATCCTATGTTTCTAGATGACAAGGAATGTTCGAAGAAAAAAGGATCTATTTTCATATTGAATTAATATAAATAATAAAAATAAATAGATAAATAACTCGATGTGAATATAATATAGAATATGAAATAAATAAAGTAAGGTCATCACGTACAAAATGATAAGAGAACATAAGACTAAAACAGAATGTTGTTGATGTTTAATTTACTATTGATAGTATGTTCTTCTTCATTAGGTTTTATGAATAAAAAGAAAAAGAACGAGGCAAATGAGTGCATTTATCATACTATATATACAAAAAACTAATATGATTGATTTTGTTTTTTTCTTTTTTTAAACGTTTATTTGTATGTAAAATCGATAGAGATATAATGTCTGCAAATGGTCAAAGTAATGAAGTTGACAAATCTTCTGATAAATTATATTTAGATGAACCATCTACAGAAAAAGAATTATTTAGTGAGCAATCATTTGCTTTTGGTACAATGCAAGGATGGAGATCATCAAATGAAGATTTTCATAAACATAAAATACCATTAGATGAGAATTTAGCAAATAATTGGGCTTTTTTTTCAATATTTGATGGTCATAATGGTATTGATACTGCAAAAAATGCTTCACAAATTATTGATAAATATTTTTTGGAATCTTTTAATGATATTCAATCGAATATAAATGATTATAATCAATTAAATAATATTATTAAAAATATTTTTATTCAATTAGATACAAATTTAAGAGAATTAGTTAAAGATCATAGTGGTTCCGTTTGTGTACGTATTGGTTTTTTTTTATGAAATAAATAAATACATATAAATCTGTATATATATACATAGATAGCAACATTAATTAGTCCTGAAAAAATATTTTTTATTAATCTTGGAGATTCTCGTGGAATAATTATATCAAATGATGGAAAAGTTTTATTATCTACGAAAGGTTATTTAATTATATAATATAATAAAAAAAAATAATATTTCAGTTTTTAATAAAGATCATAAGCCAAATGTTCAAAAAGAAAAAGAACGTATTCGTCGAGCAGGAGGTCGAATAACAAGAGTTGGAAATGATATTTTACGTGTTGAAAGTCAACTTGCTATGACACGAACTTTAGGAGATTATTCATTAGATAAAAATATTGTTACAGCTATACCCGATTTAATTCAATATGAAAGAGATTCATCAGCTGAATATATTATTATTGCTTCAGATGGAATTTGGGATGTTATGAATAATGAACAAGTTGCTTCATTTGTCTCTCAACGTATATCAAATACAACATTAGAAAATATAATATCACAATTATTTGATCAATGTTTAAAACAAGAATCTTTAGATAATATGACGGCTTATATCATTAAAATAAATTAATATTTTATTGTATTTTATTTCATTTATAAATTCTCCTTTTTTTTTTGTTTTAATTATCAAAAACCAAATGTCTTTTTATAAAGAATATCATCAGAAAAGGATAAAATTCAGATGTATAGTTTATTGAATAAACAATAACCTATTTCTAAAATAATCTCGAAATAAAATAAAACAAAACTGATATTTGGACATAAACATAGTTTAATTGAATTTCAATAAAACTTATTATTTTAATATTCTAATTAAACGATAGAAAACTAATAAATATTAAATTTTTCAAAATCTCTTATCATATAAAAAGATTTTACATAAATAAATATCAAAATAAGTGACCGCGTGAAGGATCTAAGATAGATAGGATAGAAGCGTTTTAAAAGAATTATTTAACGGCAACCACAAATAAATTTGGTCTGCAAACGCACCATGATAGAGTAAACATTCTTTCTGACACACACACGCGTCAAAACATTTTTTGTCATCCTTTTTATAAGCTATGTTTCGGAATATCGCGCAGCGACAAATTTGTTTTTTGCTTGAAAACGATCAAAGTTTTGTAACGAAAAAAAAAGACTGTGAATACAGTTACTGTTTTATAAGAACAAACTACCGAATGAAGCAATATTACTAAAGAAAAACAATGTCGAAAGCTGTGTGTATAATGCATTGAAATAAGAAGTTGATTTTTCGAATGGGAGAAGACTAAGAAACAGTCGACTAGGTTTTTTCAGTTATTTATCTTGAAACATGAATATGAACTTGAAAATATATTTCATATTGAAAGTCGAAATGAAAAGAGGTTATTTAATTAAAAAATTATTGGAACAACCTCTAGTGAAACATCTTGCAAGCGAGATCTTGGATCTTGACTTGGTAGTACCTGTTACGAATGATTTTGCTACTGCATGGAACTTGATCGTCCCGAATCGTTTAAGAAAAGATGATCTTCATTGAAGGATATCCGTGAGAACGAAGAATTTAAACTGACCATTGGTCTCTCACTTGACTCCTTTGGGTGTTCAGCAGTGATCCAATTTAAGATTCATATTCAGGATTAAATTATTATTTCGGATTCAGTAGCGTAGCCAAGGGGGAGACAAATGAGCAATTGCCCATTTCATTTTAAAATTTGCCCATTATAATTTTTAAGAGTAAGGCTTTGCCCATTGAAATTTTACTTTTTCTGAATTGTTTATTTCTTTGCTGCTGCATACATCTATAAAGATCTCGATATAAATCCAGATGGAATATGGAAATTATATACACAAATTCATCATCGTCGTCTTGATTTAGGTGTTTGATTTTGAAATATAAATCTTATAAATAGAAACATTCAAAACAGACTAAACACCCATGACTCAGTCTTAAGGTCTCTCCACTGTCAAAAAGGGTGTGGGTGTGGGGTGAGGGGTGGGTGTGGGTGTGGGTGTGGGTGTGGATGAGGTGTGGGTGGGTGTATGTGTGAGTGTAAATCTTCTATTAGCCCACACCCACATCCACACCCACACACTCACACCCACCCACACCCACACCCACACCCTATTGAAATTATTATTGATATATTTAATTATCTATCAAATAATGATATTATTTATACATTCTTTTATTTCAATCAACGATTCAACAATTTATTATTACAAAATCAATGTTACTTTAACTATTTAGAATTCCCAACAAGAAATTTGGAGTTTTGGAGAAATATTCTTTCAATTATTGGATCTCGAATAGAATTTTTAAATATAAATACAATTAATTTCTCGTTATCATTAACATATTTTCCAAATATAAAATCTCTAATTCTATCTTCACCAATTGATGTCCTAAATGAACAATTAAAATTAATTCTCGAAAGTGAACAATTTCAAAAGATACATTCATTCAAAATTAAAGAAAATAAATTTTATTTTGATCGATTATATGACAATTATTTAATCAAAAAAATTCTTAATGATCAAAATTCTTTAGAAATATTTCAATATTCATTAATAACACTACCATTGTCATTAATAGGCACATCTAATTTGAAAATTAATTTTAATTTATATTCATTAACATTGATTTCATATACACCAAATTTAACATGTTTAAATGTTCAATTAAAACCACCTTATAGATTTCAAGAATTGATTCATAGGACTAATATTAAATTAAAACAATTACATTTAAAATTAATTGAGAATGAAACAAGAGAATATCCACTGTCTAATGATGTTCAATTATTCAATGGTATAAAACAGTTTTCATCATCATTAATTTGTTTATCACTCAATTTAGTTGGTTTGGATATTAAAACTACAAATGAAATTCCATTTAATAGTATAAAACTTCAACAATTCTTAGAATCAATGATAGAACTTAAATAATTTCATCTCTATGCTAAGTTAAATAAAGATCCAATTGATATTGATAATATTTTATCAAGATTTTATGATAAATTTTGGTTTGATCATAATCTATCATTTGCAATGCATGGAAGATATTTCTACACATTACCATTTTATTTTAATGATCTTTTATAATTTTATGAAGGTTTTGATGGTGTTCAATCAAATAATATCGAGATTCTTGAAAGTAATCCTCGAATGTGGTATCATGTCAAGTCTATTGAATTACTCGTAACATATAACTATAATTTAAATTTCGTAAAAGAACTAAAAATTAAAATGCCAAAGTTAACTTTAATTAAATTCGGCAATATTGCTTTTTCTTCTACACATAAAACAGTAAATTTATATCAAGAGGAGAAATTTGATGTTTAATTAGATAATGTGACGACTATTGAATTTACTCATGGATCTATTGAAAATAAAAAAGAATGGTTAATTAATGTAACACCAAATTTGAAATATTTATTCCTTTGGTTTACAGAATTATCTTCAATAGATAATCAATTAGCTTCAGTATTAACTAAAAGAATTCAACAATTAAACATATCGACATATACTGAGCTTGAACAATTGACAATGATAAGTAATGTTTATTTTTCAAATGTTCAATATATTATTTTTGGCTTGAATGACGATGGGATGAAGCCTCAAAATTATGCAGATTTTATTATGAAAATATTGAAAAATTTTCAAAATTTAAAGACATTAATCATTTACATTATTCCAATCAGTTGTTTTTATATAGAATTGAGCGAAATTATTCAAAATTTGGATATGAATGAAATTATCAACAACTATCAAGTGCAACAATTTCGAGAATATTCTTTATTTTCAAAAAAATCATCTTAAACATAAACCTTAGACATCACACGACGTTTGTTTTGAAGATCAGGCAAGAATCTTTTTTCCTTTCCTATCAAAAGAATCTGGTCTGCTCGATCAAGAAAAATAAGAATCTTGACAGAATAGGTCCAAGAACGTCGACTAATGACGTGTCAATCTGTTGGAGACATACATGTATGGAATGATTTTCAATTAATTGAAAAACTTATCTTATATCTATAGAATTTCAATATTTCATCTGGATTTATATAGAAAAACATTAATCAATTAAGATACAAGGAGCAATTATTTTCTTCCTTTCTTTGTTCTTCACAGAGAGAATAAACAAAGAGCGTATGTGGGATTCAGGGTGTGGGTATGGGTGTTTGGGGTGTGGGTGTGGGTGTGTCGTTGATCTCTGTTTCAGCTATACCGACACACAGTGCCCACATCCACATATCATCCTACGCCCACTTCAACACCCCGCACCCACACCCACACCCTCGTCCGATACTACCGAGACCGAGACGGCTCGGGCCGAGAATCTCGGTCTCGGTACATCCCTAGATATATTATAATAAAAAGCATATTAAAAAAGAGAGGGATCAAACTCATCACTGTTACAAGGAAACAGAAAAAGAAACTTTGCTATTGTTATAATAAGATGATTACAAAAGTTTTTCGTCAACTAAAGTAATATTATTATTTAGTAGTTCATCATGATCATTATTATTATCTAATGTTGTATTAATCATACGAAATTCTTATGTGTCATATTATTCATTGTAGTAGGAGATGAAATTCTTGATAAATTTACTGGTAACATAGGTTCATCATGAAATTTTTTATTGTATGCAATAAGTTGAAGAATATCTTGAAGAGATATATTTTTATATGATGCTGTTGTTATTGAATTATTATTATCACGATTAAATATAATAACATTAACATAGATTAAATCAGGTAATTGTATTGGTATAGAAAAATGACATGTTATTGATGTACAGTCAATAAATTTTGATAAATTTTTAATATGTTTTAAATTATTACCTTGATGATTAAAAAATCGATATACACGACCATAAGCTTTTTCACGATGCTCTCCACTAGGTAAGAATAAAAAAGAAATAGATTCTAAGTTTTTATAGTGTTTTCTTAACATACGAATAATCTTTTGATATATTAAGAATACACTTATTCGGATTGAAAATATTTTGATCAAATGATGGATAATAAATTGTATATGAAGCTGAAAACAAACATAATTAAAATAATTATCACTACTGTAAAAATTAGTTAATTCACCAACGGCAACAAAACTGAGAGAAGAATAATCTACTAGTAAGGTTTTATATTCATTTTTTTTGAGATCATGTAAGAGTAATTCTCAAAAAGAGATAGTATTGACTAGATGTAACAATCACTAAACTCTATTATGCAAATCTTTTGTTTAAAAAAAAAATATCATCCGAATATTAAAAATCAACGACAAGCTTTATTTTCGACTGTTATTATTTTTCAACATAAGAATACTTTACCAGATAGTAAGTATATCGAACTTACAGCTTAAATTTAATTGTTGAATTATCTTACATATGAAAACTTAAAAGTTCAACATTGACTTATTCAACCGTTCATGTAAACACAGATATAACATACTATATCAATAACTTGTCGTATCACAGATAGAGAAAGATGTCTGTCTTTGACAAGCAAACAAAGAATGATTCCAAGAACTGTTTAGTTTAATAAGAAATTGGAAAAAAATTCGAATTTAAATACATGGAGTTTATCTATTTGGATCGACTCTAGCACGTAATCTAAAAACATAGGCAAAATGTTTCTTATGATATTCTCTGATAGCATTGCTTTAATATTGTACCACATAATTTATGTAAAACAATGAATGAACAATCATGTAAACAACTATATATGATTCTATTCTAATCTTTAAATTAACTTACTTCCAGGTAAATAAACACTTGTAACAACATCAAGATCATCATGCAAATTAGCGGAATGAATCATATGTGCATATTTTGATAAAGTTATATGATCAACCTTTTAAATAGAAATATTTTATAAAATAAATTTCATACAACGTAATATAAATTACTTTTAGACTATAACAAACATCTGTTTGTTCAAGTGGTGTTAAGAAATCTCGACAAAATAGTTCTTGAAGTAATTTACTTGCTAAGCCTGTAAGAAAATAAATTAAAAAATTTATTTTCTTCATGAAAAAGCAAAAAGTATAAATAATTTTTACCAAACCAATCATTTTCTTCAAGATCATAATCATTCCAAAATTTTTCTGTTTCATCTTTATTGAAATAAGAAAGTATTCGTTTTGGATACCATTTTTCTACTAATTGTGTTCCTTCAATAAGCACAGCCTAAGTAAAAAAATATATATATAGAGTTTTATTTTATTTTTATAAAATAAAGCATAAAAATAAAAATCATACTGTTAAATCAGCTTCTGTCAATCGAATACGATCATGCTGACGACCATGATGTATTTGAAGTAAATCATTACGCCTGTTTTTAAACAAAAAAAAAAAAGAATTGAAAATTAACAAGCAAACAAAAAACTATCTCAATAACTTTACTTGTCAATTGCTTTTCTCAAATTTTGAATATGTTCATTAACAACATCATTCATTCGACTATAAACTGATCGACTATCCGTTGTTGTAACTAGAGCTGAAAATGGTTCAAATACTGCGTTAAAAAATTGTCTATATAAAGAAAAAGAAAACTTTCTTATCTTTTTTAATCAATAAAATAAAATCAAACCGATATTCATTAATTGGTTTCGTTAAAATTTCTTCAATATATGAACGATAAATCTTCAATTCCTTTTGTTCAATTAATGATTCTAATGCTGCTAATACTTCTGGTGATGAAACTTGATAAAAATATTGTGCTGCTAAACCTGGACCAGCAATACGTCTTGCAAGAAAAGTATCATGTGCAGGAATTCGAGCTAAACGTTTAATAATCAATTTAAATACTATTATATCATACAATCCACCAGCAAAACGATGTAGAAGAGCATCTAAATTATAGATTATAAAAAAAAACATTAAATATTATACAGTATTTATTTTTCAAAATAACTTACAAATCAGAATTAAAAGAGAAGTTATTGGACTAAAAACTAATGCAATCAATACTAATATTGGTTGTACAATGCCACAGAGTAGAAAATCAGTTATTAAAATATTAATAAGACAAAAAAATTTTCGACCATATTCACCTGAAATTAAAAATATAATCAATTATTATGAAATAATTATAAGAATTCATTTATTATCATTACCAGCTGAATTTGCATCATAGACAAGAATTTGAACTATATGAAATAATAATGTTAGAATTGGCATCCTAAATTTAAATAGGTAGTGAAAATTTATTCTGCTACATTGTAAAAATTTACCAAATAGGTGATAAAACACCTAATATAAAAGAGCCAGTTGAAAGAAGTACACAAGAAGCTGGATAAACAGCACAAATGGCAACAGTAACAACAAAACCTTTTGCTACATAATTCCAAAATCGATTGAAAAATCTTTGCACATTCTTTCCCAAAAGTCCTAAAATAAAGCTTTATTGATTCTTCTTCTTTAACATATGTTTAAACAATACATTGAGTATGTGAATGTATGATTTCTCTGTTTAGTTAAAAAACAACTAATTGCTCTCACAATAAATTTTTAATAAGAATTGTACGATATAACTAGGAAACACCATTCGACTTCATATAATGGTTATGAGTAGGTCTATGTGAAACTACGAAAAGTTGAAAATGATGATGACCGATTTTATGAAATTTTTATTTAGAAGTAAACATTTAGTAAACCGTTGTGTTTTAAAACAGCATCAATGTGTCATGGTTCGAAATTTTTTCAGCTTATCTTAGTCTTACAGGGACCTATTCATATTTATCATACGCAGTCGATGTTAACTTTCAAAATAGATTTTTCAATCTTGATATATCTTCCATGTAATACTGAGTCTTGAAATTTTAGTATCAGTTTTCATCTATATTATTTTAATAGATTTGTCATCATTTCATTATTTATGTGCATACCTCGATCAGGTGCTCGTTCGAATTTTTGTCTTGATTGTCTCACATGATTCCAAAGAGCAGCAAGACGTGAAATAAATGTTTCTGTTTTTGAAGATGGATCTTCATGAAGTTTCAACTAAATGAAAAAAGAAATTACCATAAAATATGAAATAAATTCTTTTCTTTTTCTTTATATACATCATCTCGATTTAATTTATAATCAGGTCTAAATGGCTTTGGAGATAATAGAGCTCGAAAACTAACTGGACTAGCAAATGGAATTACAAGCTAAACAGAAACTAAATAAAATAAATTCTTGATTAAAATGATATCTTTCATACACAAAATGTATAAATAGCATTTGAAAGCCAACAATATGTACGAAGTGCAAATAATTTCCATCTCCAAAATGGATATCTTGTTGTTGTTGAATAAGTTATTTTTCGTTGAAGATTATATTTTGCATAAGGCTAAAAAAAAGTACCAATACTAATTATACACTCTTCAAAAAATAAAAATAGTTCTTAATGCAATTCCTGTGGAGTTAAAATATGCAACACGATATACATAGTTGCTGTAACTAATCACAGAGAGATTATTTTATTCGTTCGATTTTGAGACATATATCTTCATAATCTTTTTACTTAATGTTTTCGAAATAAAATAAAGATGTTGATCATATATTATAGCGAGACGCTATGAATATCTGGTCATAGACTTATCGACACAATCTCGGACATTTTTTAAGAGCTTTATGAAGCTAATAATAGGTTTCCGAAGTTTCAACAAAGCCTTTTTGAAATTTTTGAAAAGTTTTCGAAACTTTGGATGCATATTTTCAGCTTGAAAAAACTCTTAAACATTATAGGACAATTAGAGTCTAGATTGATATAAAAAGACAAAGATAATTTACATTAGAGTCAATCAATCTTCTTTGACTTTCTTCTTGTTCAGATGTGCATGTATGTTTAGCAAATACTGTTGGAATACGTTCTGTTGGAAGTGGATATGTTCGTTCGACAATCCAATATTCTTAAAAAGAAGATTTAAAAAACAAATGACTCTTTTTTTTAAATTTTACTTACTTGGCAACCATATCGATCGACTACATTCAATTGTTTTCAAAGGTTCAATTGATGGTTTAAGAGTACGACGAAGAATTGGTTCATGCTAGAACAAACAAAAAATAATAGATATATAGTAATATTTGAAAAAAACATTTTTCTTTAATTACATCTTTTCGAAATGTAAAATCTCGTTGAATAAAATATGCAACTTGTTGATTTCCTAATGCTTGACATTGATCAATTGATAATTGATGTGCATCCCATTTATGTTGATGAATATAATTTATTCTTTCTTCAAATAATTTACTTTCAATCCAACGACTAATTTTAGATTTTATTGGATGTTCACGAATTAATTTTTCTCTTATCTAATTTTTTTTTTATAAAATCAATTTTATATTTGAAATAAGAAATAGAGAAAAATAAATACCATATTAAGATGTTTTTCTAAATCATCATTTAAGTTTTGAACAACTGATTTCATTGTTAACATAGAACGAGCTTGTGAAACTAATAAACGTCCAAGACCAGGTGATAATTCTTCAATTTCATTAGAATTTTCAATAGTTTCAAATGCTTGTTCAACATATTCAAGATTTAATTGTGTTTGAACTCGTTTAGCCACTTCTTGTTTTGATAAACCTAATTCACTTTGTTCATCTGAGATTCAGAACAAAAAACAAAATAGATCCATAATGAAAAAAGCAAATATCTTTAATAGTCAGAAAAATATTTTACTTTTATATTGATTAATTAATCGTCGTTTTGTTGTATTAAACCAATTTTTTGGTGTACTTTCACGAAGAAGGGTACTAATAATTGATGATAGTCTCGTTTGAAGATCATTATTATGTAATCGAAGATCAATAACAATATTATTTGGTGTTACAAAATGATGAGGATATGGCAGCATTCGAGGTGGACAATGCTAAAAAGAATAATATTTTGATTTAAATGTATACTTATATATCTTAATATAAAGCCCTTTGTCTAAAGTAGAGCCCTTAAACTGAACCGAACATTTTGCATCAAGCCTCACCAGAAGCATAAGTCTGAATGTTCATTCGTCTGATGATTTTAAACTCGGATTCGATCCAATAATTAATGAGATTTTGATGTTTACAAATATGTTTACTGCCTTAAATTGCTAATTTACATAAAAGCGTAGTAGTGAAAACCAGCTCGATCAGGACTGAGCAATTTATTGTATTTGAGAACATGTTACAGAGGTGGAAGTGGATATTATTTTATATGACGAAGTAATTGAATACATGAAAAGAAAAATAACTTATCAAAAGGAGTTGAACATCTATTATTGTGATGGAAAAATCATTCATGTATGTATCTACAATTATGATATTAAAACCGAAAGACATCAAATGAATTCAGAATTACTTGATTCGTTTGTTTTTTTTCCTTGCTATTTACAGAAGAAACTAAATAGTATACTTTTTCATAAAAAATCAAATTTTGAAATCCATACTATGAATGTGAAACACTATATCAGATGTCAATTAGCTTTGATGCGGGTAAGCTTACGAAAAATCGTATTCGTACATGATTCTAGTCTGAGAATCAATTTTTTTCAAGTAATTTCTTCGATTTATTGATCATTTTTATTGTATTCATATCAATAATATCAAAGTTCAGTAAAAGCAATACTTTACTTTCGTCATCCTAGGAACATATCAGTTCTGAGCTTGAAAAACCTTGAGAAATACTTGCAAGTATGAATCTTCTCGAATATGAGTAGTTCGAGTATATTGTCTAGCTCTGCTATTGTGTACTAATTAAAAGATCTCTTCATTGTTGTACATTTGTCTAGAAATTCAACAACGTTTTTAGCACGAAACAGCGCATTCACAATTGAAGAAAACATATTCTCAGGTATACACCTTGAAGTTTGTTCAGTGAAGTACTCTGTCTGAATCTAAGAACGCATTTTACTAATTTCTTTTGCAGACAACTGTATTAATTCAAATTAGTTTGAAACTAAGACCTGTGCTATTGGTACACTTTGATTGTGAATGAATTTCATCTACACTATTCAAAATATCAGTATAATCAACTGACCTAAACAAGTTTGACCGAAGAAAAACATTAGTTTTCTTATTTTTGTTAATTTTTTTAACTATTGAGAACATTAAATTTTGCTAGTGACAAATTTTATTCTTTAGAAAAAAAGAATACTATTGGATATTGTACAAAAATGTTAAATTATATTGTTCTAAGAACACTCTTACCAATAATTGTTTCAGTAAATAGTGAGTAAAGAACTGCTACGAATATCATAGTAGATTTTAAACAAAAATCATATATTATTTTATTCAAGCTTTCGATAAGATACTCTTATCATCTTCAGGAATAACAAAAGACAAAAAAAAACGCTACATATATAGAACTTATGTTAATTGATAGATTAATTGAGAGAAGATTGATGAATAATAATTCGCGAATTATTATGTTCGTAGAACATATCCGGGCCCCCAAAACATGCCAAGAGGCAATTTTAATTGTTTTATCCAAAAATATTTAATTTAAATTTTACGTCATTTAAGGACTTATGTTGCATTTGATGAGTGAATAGACTTTCTTTAATCGTTCTTCTTCTCCAATTCGATTCGAGGGATAAGGTTTCAGATCCTGTAAAATCGAATGTGTGGTTTTCTATGTTAGCGTGTTTTGCAACATTAGATGATTTGGTGAATTTTCTTACATCGACTTCGTGTTCTTTCATTCGAGTTTGTTTCGTTCTGCTTGTTTCACCTATATAGCATTTATTACAGTTCAAGCAAGATATTTTGTAAATAAGATTTTTATTTCTCTTTGAATCATCTAGTCCTTTTTGGAGAGGCAGAAATAAGCTCTTAATTGTAAATGTTTTCCTAAAGCATACATTAATCTTAATGAGTGGTAATAGTTTCTTGCATAATTGCTTAATTCGATGTGCTAATATGGTTGATTCGTGTCCATAGTAGGCTATTAGGAAATATACCGTTTTTATTTCAGATGATTTTGGTAGATCTTTCGATTTTCCTTTTAAGATTCTATTGCTAATGACTTCTCCTTCACGTATACCTTTTCTGATGAGGTGAGATGGGTAACCATTAGTTATTAAAGTTTCTTTCATTAATTTAATTTCACTTTCTTTCAATACGTCTGTTGAACATATGAGATGAATACGAATAACTAATGTTCTAATTAAGCTTAATTTATATTCTCTGCATTGGTTACTTTCATATAGTAAATAGAGATTGGTGTTAGTTGGTTTTCTATATAAACTCGTGTTATATACATTATTAATATTATCACGCTGAATTAATACATCAAGGAATGATAATTTATTATCATGCTCATGCTCAGGTGTGAATTTAATATTTGAATGCCATTTATTAATTCTTATTAGAAAATCTTTAATGTTTTGATTAGTTTTAAAAATGCAGAATATATCATCTACGTATCTTATCCATGTTAAAGGTTTGTTAGTAGAGAATTTATTTAATTTTTGTTCGAGATTTGACATGAATAGATCAGCTAAAATCGGACCTAAAGGTGATCCCATTGCTACGCCATCAATTTGTAAAAATATTTTATCAAGAAATCTAAACGGAACATTACACACTGCATATTCTAACAGTTGCTTAAATTGTGATCTATTAAATGGAATGGGTGCAGAACTAGATTTTTTAAATATCATATCAAGAGTAATTTCAATGGCTTCATGAACAGGTACGTTAGTATATAAGTTATCGACATCAAAGCTGACCATAATTTGATTAGTACTATCTTTGATTCCTGTGATCTTTTTTACGAATTCAAATGAGTTTTTAACGAAAGAAGGTGATTGATTTGGTCTATTATCTTTAATTATTTGGTACAGGTATTTAGAAAGATTATAATTGTAAGAGCCGATAGATGAAATTATGGGTCTAAGTGGATAATTAGTTTTATGTACTTTTGGTTGTCCATACATCGTTGCATAAGAGGAAGAGGTAGAGCGAATTTTCCAGTATGTTTCTTTATCAATGACATTATCTTTATGTAATTTTAGGATATATTCATTCATAGAGTTTTCTTTTTCAATTAATGAGGAATCTTTAGCATTTTTAAATTGTTTTAATTCAAGAATTTGGTTAATCTTTTCAATATAATCTTTTTTATCTAATATAACTATACAATTTCCCTTATCAGCACGACAAATAACTATATCATGATTATTTCTTAATGATTTAAGTGCGTGCAATTCATCATCACTAATGTTTCTAATTCTTTTCTTTTTAAGTGATCTCATATATGTGTCGGAATAATTATATAGTTTGTGACAGAATGTTGAAAATGTACTAGGATGACAATGTGTTTGGAGTTTAGATGCATTTAATTCAATATCGGTCTTAAACTCAATGAAATTAGTGATTTTATTTTCAATACAGAAATCCCATCCTCTGCATAGTAAGCGTTCTTCAACTGAAGATAGAATATAAGATGATATATTATGTATAAGTTTTCCTCGAAGTGAGTAATAATCTTGACCTATTTTACCATTATTTAATCTTTCCAACTTTTCATGACGTATATTTGCAACTTTCTCATGTATCTTTTTAGATCTTTCGAATAAATATTTTTGTAATGATGTATAATCTGAGTGTGTCCTTTTGGTTTTTAAATTATTCATCAATTTGTTCGTTTCAGTTTCATATTTAATGCTATCTTTTAGGGGTGGCACATTACTATTACTAGTAATAAGTAATAATCAATGGCGTTATAACTTATTACTAGTAATAAGTAATAATTTTGAACAGTAATACAAGTAATAAAGTAATAAGTAATAAAAGTAATAATGTTATTACTAATTACCAGTAATAAGTAATAACCATAAAAAATAGCAATAAAGTAATAAGAAAGTAATAAAGTAATACACAAATAAGATATTACAGTTACTTCTAATCATCAAATAGCTTTAAACTCCCTCATTAAAGCATTGTGACACCGTTAAATTTCATTTTTCCTGATAAATTGGTCTCAATATTTATCTATGATTGATGGAAGAAGTATAGTTTTTGGACTATGGAGAACAAATTTGGTTGAAATAATAGTTCATCAAAACGGAGAAAGTTAACTTAGCTGAGTAATGAGGTCTTATTCATATGAACAGAGAAAACATTCATCCTTTTGTTTTCTAATTTATGCTAATACCATTATTATAACCTTGGACCATGTCAGTGCATACTAGAATTATATTTTTCAAATTTTAAAAAATATAGAAGTTTGTTGTATAAGGTGAATCATTACATAACAAAGGATCGATGCTTTGTTTTAGTCACTCTCTGTAGTATGAGACCTTTTTGTTAATCTAGAGCAGATGTCATGCAAAAACTATACTATATATATTTTCTTTTTTATTAGTTAATTATAATAAATGAAATTTATGTTTTTGATAAACAGGGTGTGTGTTTGTTGGTGTGCTAAGAAAATAATCACATCCACAACCTTCTAGTGTCGCAATAGTCAAAGCCAAAAGTAGCAGCTATGTTGGATAAGGAGAATAGGAACAAAGAATGAACAGATAGAATCAAATCTAATCCTCTGATATATTGTTCTTTCTATGCATTCAGTGCATCTGAGATGAGATCTACGACATAATATTTCAACAATAAATAATATTTGTGTACCAATATCTTACCTGTTCTTTCTGTCTATGTTATATTGCATTTATTGATTTATTATTACTTTATTACGGTAATAATTATTACTCGTTATTACTTATTACTTTATTACTAATTACTTTTATTACTTTCAAAGTTTTATTACTTTATTACTGATAATAAGAAATAATTTTTTTTATTATTTATTACTGGCAATAAGAAATAATTTTTATTATTATTTATTACTGGTAATAAGTAATAAAAATTTGAA